TCTATGAAATTAATTGTGATTATGTTTATTATCATTTTTCATTATTATAAATTAACACAAAATAATTTTATTTATATTATAATTTTTATCAAAAAAAAAGAAAAGAAGCATTTAATTTGTTTGTTTTTTGTTTTTCTAAAATAATGTATCATAGTGATGTACTTGTTTATTTTGTTGAATATATAAATTCGTTAATGTTTGAAGTTTTCGATGAATAATAGCTTGTTTTAATTGATTTTTATTCATAGCATCTTTTAATGAATCAATTTGTTCTTCAAGTTGATGTTGATTAGCAAGCATTCGTGTTTGAATAAGTAAATGAAATTGACGCCATTGTTTTTCAAAATCACTTAATGTTATAGATGAATTTGGAGTTGAGGTTGGTTCAGATTGATTTGATGATTGTGATAATAATGAAAGACTTTGAAGAATTATATTATAAATTTTATGATGACCTAAACGTCTTGCTAATTCAATAGGTAATTCATGATGACTATTTCGAATATTTAAAGATGCATCAGCATGAATTAATATTGCTGTACAACCTACAACAAAAAAAACAAAAGAGAATTTCAAATTAATACACATTTCAAAAAAGAAAAAGGTTGAGTATTTTTCTGAATAACTTTCGATAGAAACAAGATAAAAAGCTGTGCTTTTCACCATTCGAAAAACGAGATAAAACTGTATCGAACTGCATATATCACATTTTTCTAAAATGGTTTCTTAAGGGTTCTGGTCAAGTTTATCGAAAACAAAGTCTTTAGTCGTGTGAAAGTTCAGAGAATTTGATTTCCAGAAATGCATTAGAACAGTCAACTAAAGGTCTCCAAACCGTGCAAATCCGACTTTAGTAGTTCGAATCTATCGTGATATATATATATTTTGACTAAATTTTTTCCCCGAATTTTCCCGAAAAACGGCTTCTTTTCGTACTTTTTGACAAATAGTGTACCGTTTCAACCTATGAAAAAGCATATACATTTTTTCGATAAACTTGACCAGAACTCTTGAGAAGCCATTTTAGAAAAATATGATATATACAGTTCGATGCAGTTTCATCTCGTTTTTCGAACGGAGAAAACCTCAGTTTTCTATCTTGTTTCTATCGAAATTTATTCAAACAATACCCAATATTTTTCTTTTTTTGAAATGAATATTAGTTATTTTCAATTTTCTTTTTTTTTTTTAATAAACCTGCATGTTTATATCGAATAGCAGAATGTAATGGAGTATCACCATCTCGATTAATTGCATTTAAATTTGCACCAGCATAAATAAGTAAACGACAACATTCATTATGACCAAATTTACAAGACATATGTAATGGTGTATTATTATCATAATCAACATGTTCAACATGACTTTCATATTTAAGAAGTAATGTTAATATTTGACTGTAACCATATGCTGCTGCGACATGAAGACATGTTTTTCCATCTCGATCATGTAATGATGTATTAATACCTTCTTTAAGTAATCGTCGTACAACATCTGTATGACCGAGATATGTTGCTATGTGAAGAAGTGATCGTCCATTTGATGAATCAATAGAACTAAGTGAATAACCAGCTCGAACAAGAATTCGAAGAGTATTGTGATCATTTGCTTGAACAGCAGCAAGTACAGGATCTCCATTTGCATCGTCTACAGATGACAATGGTTGAAGAATTGATTTTAGTTGTGAATCGAATGTAGTTGACATTATTCAATGTGATGGATTGCATAAGAATGGTTTCTCTTTTTCGTTAAAAAAAAATTTTTTTTTTCATCATCATTACTAAGTGAAGAGAAAGAGAACGGAAGATTGAAAAAGAACGCAATACATTTGTCAATGGTACTTTTCAAGTGGCGCTACTAGCCAGAAGAGAAAGGAGAAAGTGAAGCAAGAAAAAAAGATTCTTTCGTTGTTCAAAAATATTTAAACTTCTCTCAACTTTTTAATTATTAGTATAAAATCTTTGACATTAGCTGTGATAATTGTATTCATAGTAATGCATACCGTTGAATATGACTGTAATTTTACTACATCTCTACATTTCACTTTCAACAGAATATAAACACAGAGCATGAAAGTTTTCAGTTTTTGTGTATTTATTTTCTTTTGTTGAGTGAAAAACATAAAGTTTCAAAAACTAGAATGTCCTTGACGAGAGCCGGAAGAGTGTTCTATTACTTTTGAGTATTTTAGATGATAAGTATGATTGTTATAATTTGTTCTTTTGTAAACTCAAGATGGAAATTATTAATGTAAATGGAAGTAGGTTTTCATGCTCTAGAAAATGAATACATTATTCATATTTAATGTTAATTTGTCTCTTAGATTATCGAGAGTTGAATAGTTTTGATCTATACGATTCTTTTATTATAGGAGCAACTTTCTATACATTTTCAGCATGCTATTATTATTAAAAATTCAATTAGCACGAAAATTCTCTATGATTGAAAGCTGTGCTACTCAGACTCTATAAATCTTTGCTGTCGTAAGATTCATTTTCATCGAAAGATTGTAACAAAATAATCATTTTATTAATTTTTTCTTGTAGTCTATGTCGACCATTTTCATGTTGAATCGTAATCTAACATCAATTTCAGAACATAATGAATGCTATATTAAAAATCAGCACACACATTTCAGTAAAAAAGACAACTTATACAGAAAAAATTGAGGTAGTCCTATTCAGTAGTTTTGTGACACATGATTTCAAAGGAATATACGATCACAGAACATATATCAATAACGGTTCATTACAATATGTTAACTATTTAGTATCGTATTTCTGAAAGATTAAATAAAAGGAGAGTGAAGAAATGGGCTTCAAAATAGACATAATAAACAATATCCGTTTGATAAGCAATAGTAGTTACATTGTGTTTTACATTTTAATCTCACAGAAATTGTGCTAATAGCTTATTTTCTCGAGTTTTGTTCATACCTCCCTCAACTCGATACATTGATTGTGAAAACTATTTTTGCAGCAACGTGTATGCTGATATTGAATATGGTATTCATTTTGTTCTGAAATTGCTGTTACATTACGATTCAACATGAAAATATTCGACATAAGCTATTAGAGAATTTGCAATATGTTTACTTCGTTATAGTCTTCTGATGAATAAATGGATTTTTAAACATAAAAATACACTTTAGAAATATCAAAAGTTGTTCGTATCATAAGAGAATTGTATCTATTAAACTTGTTTAATCTAGGATAATCGAAAAGATTAATTAAAGTATGAATAATATATCCATTTGTAGAGCATGAAAACAATACTTATCATCTAAAATACTCAAAAGTAATACAGTGTTCCTTCTTCCTCCGTCAAGAACGTTTTAGTTTTTGAGACTTTTTGTTTTGTATTCAACAAAACAAAATAAATACAAAGAGCTATGCAAAATGTCATGCTCTATGTTTGTACTTCGTTGAAAGAGAAATGTTCAGGATTGGCAGACTCGTGATCCGATTTGGCGATGTACTTGAAATTAACCAAAGAAGTTTCTAACGATCAAATTTGAAATCAATTAGTTATAGCGGTTGAATCTTTAAAATAGCATCAGTCTTACTAGAAATGTTTAAATTAGTGCTTATTTGGTAAAAATGAATTAACATTATTAAACAACACTCTTCTACAGTTTCAATTTTCATCTAGAAAAATCGCATCTTTGTATTAGTTTCTTTTTTTTTGTGCAATATTTACACTCAGTAATCTAATAGCATCATTTACCAGTATTATTACCTTTTAGTTCAATGTTTAATTGATTAATAGATATTTAATTAAAAGAGTTATTACATAAAGTTAGTGAATGTTTATTTCAGGGTGAACAATTCGTTCGTCGCCATTTGCTTTGTTTGAAATGACATTTTCGCTGAAGCTTTTATCTCTCGAGATAGTCAGAATATTTATTTGTCAGTGCTAATAGCTATGTCAATAACATTTGATTGAACATATGATTCCATATCAAGAATTTGAAACTTCTATCTTGAACAAAAAGATACCGTTTTTCCAAGGTGTCAAAAACCTACTGATATCAATGTCATGAGTATCTCTAATTTTATAATATTTACAATTCGACTTGAGATAGTTCCAAATATTCACAGGAATTTTCTCTTTGTTACCCTCAATATACTGATATCACAGTCTGAAATATAATTGTGTTGTTTTTCAAATGCCTCTACAGAAATACATTCAATGCAAACAGCGCATGAAATTATTCTAGTCTTTATTGATCTTATGAATTAATATTTGTAAAAAAGAAAAATTATTATATATCAATAACCAAATCTGATTGTATATGCTTTTGTGATATAGTAATGAAACACGATGACACTATGTATTGATCATTCATTCGTGCTATATGATTTTTTTCTATTTCATCATACATGTTCAGAAAAATGAATTTTTTTCTTCTATTTTACATCCGTTTTTCTTCTGCTGTAGGTTATTAACTGTTTCTATCAACAAAGATAAAGACTGAAGTATTTATGAAATATTCTTTTAATTTATTTTCTGAATATTTAACCATCCTTGTTTCTGCACATATATATGCATACGTTCACTTCATCTACTAAACAGATATGTTTGCTTTACATATTTTTTTCTCAATGAATTTCTTTTTTCCACATGCTATTGTTCTTATTTATGCTTTCAGAGAAAAAAAAAATACTCTTCTGAATAAAAAAGTTAACTGTCGGCTGCTTGTCTTCAGTCATAAAATGCTTATAAAAGCGACCATAAAGCAATTTTTCTCGCTAAATTTTTGGCGAAACAGATTTCTTTTTTCTTTTCCTTCTTTGAATGACTGACTGTATGAAACTTGTTTAATCAACGAGCGTAATATTTATTGATCAAGTATGTTTTTTTATTTTAGTCAAGAATGCTCACTATTTTATTTTTTTCTTCCTACAAACATCTTTTTTTTTTTGCCATCAAAATCAAACGAGAAAAAGACCTCGGGCATGATCGTGTTTGTGTGTACTCTTATTTTATATATATATATATATTCACCGTTCTTTGCCACTTCCGATTTATTCTACCATATTATAGATTAACGCAATATGCAAACAGAAAAAGTAATTGAACATATAACACAATGGCTCAAAGATTATCATCAAAGTAGTCATACAAAAGGTTTTGTTGTCGGTGTATCAGGTGGTATTGATTCAGCTGTTGTATCAACATTATGTGCTCGAACAGGTTTACCAGTACTTGTTTTGGAAATGCCAATTCGACAATCATCAAGTGAAATACGACGAAGTCATGCTCATATTAATTGGCTTACATCAAATTTTTCAAATGTTACTGGAACTGAAGTTAATTTAACAGAAGTTTTTGAAACATTTGAAAAAACAGTTACAAAAAGTGAAGTTAATGAAATAAATTCATCATCAGAACTTGCATTTGCTAATGTGAGATCACGTTTAAGAATGGTAAAGAATTAATTTTTTTTTTTTTTTTTTCATCTTTAATTTATTATATTTTTGAATTGTTTTTCTTTTTTGTAAGGTTAATTTATATTATTTTGCTTCAATTAAAAATTATCTTGTTGCTGGTACAGGAAATAAAGTTGAAGATTTTGGTGTTGGATTCTTTACAAAATATGGTTAGTATTCATTTTGAATTCGAAACATTTCTTTTAAAAATCTCAAATTTTAAAGGTGATGGTGGTGTTGATTTAAGTCCAATAGGTGATTTGTTAAAATCAGAAGTACGCACTGTTGGTGCAGCCTTAGGTGTTATAAATGAAATAATAATAGCACCACCAACAGATGGACTTTTTGGTGATACTCGAACAGATGAAGACCAAATAGGAGCTAGTTATGATGAACTTGAATGGGCTATGACTTATGTTGAATTAAATAAATCAAAACAAGATGATACAACATTAACTGATCGACAAAAAGTTGTTTTAGGTATTTATAATCAACGACATGCAGCAAATTTACATAAAATGATTGAAATTCCACGTTGTATTATTCCATTGGAATTGAAAACAAAATAAAAAAAGAAAAATGAAGTCAATCTATGTTAATTTTCATAAGAAAATTACACCTTCTTTTATTATAGTATGCATTTCAAACTAGAATATAGTATAACTTGTGTTTTTATCACTTTGATTATTTTATTGGATAAACTACTAACGATAATTACAATATATACTATAGATTATCACTATTTAATGTTGTTTATTTTTTCTAGAAAAGCTCATTTCACATCCATTTCTTTCATGTATTTAGTGTTTTCTTTCTTTTTTCAATAAATTTAGAGAAAAAAAAATAAGCGGTAGTGTCCGTACTATAAATACTAATTTCAACGAATTCTTTTTTGTTATTCAAAGATATTGTTTTTAAATATCAATTAAATAGAAGAATAAACTAAATAAAATTGATAATATATTTCATTTTGTTCGTTAGATATGGAAAAATACCTTTAATGTGTCATTTTGAAATTGTTATTTTTTCTATACCAATTGACTGATCACTACAAAAATCATATTCTATTAAACAACTATTTTCCTTCTATGATAAATTTAGATTTAAGTAAAACTATTAAAATAAATAAAACTGTGACATTGATAGGAAGTATTGTAAACGTTACAGTTGATCGATTTTTTTTCTCTACATATTATGTACTATATTGACGCACTACAAAACCATGTAATAGATCCCGATACGATCTTATACAATGAAATACGAAGTGTATTTGATTCTTTCCGAGTGTATATGGATTTCGTATCCTTCGTCTTAGGTAATTCGAGTTTGAATATATAGGATGTTCCAAAGGTTCTTTGGGAATAAGTTTTTTTCGTTTATCTTTACTATTTCATTTGACATTATTAATTAGTTATTTTTAAATGATAGATAAATACATCGAGTTTTTAAATTTATATATATAGAAATTTCAACAGTACTGCTCAAAGGTATTATCTTTGATTGAAATAGAAAAATTTAATCTTTTTCTTATTTCCAAAGAAACATTATACAATGTTTCAGTCTTAATTGCTTCGATTTCTTGACGTATTTTGATCTTTAAATCATTCAAATCTTTTAAATTAGTTTTATAAATATTTGTTTCAATATGACCCCATAATAATCCTCATGCTACTATGGAAGTCGCAATGCACTTACCAAAAATTAATGTCTGGTGTGGAATGTTCAGCAAGTTCATTATTTATACAGACTAAAAGAATTAATAATAAAATCATATTTTAACAGAATCGAGCGCCAGCTCTTGCGGGAATCACAATCATCGGATTTGACACCGCTAAGTTTCTTTTTATGGAGTCATATTAAGACAAATATCTATAAAACTCATTTGAAAGATTTTTAAACAATTTGAAGATCAGAATACGTCAGAAATCGAAGCAATTAAAAAAGAAACGTTGCATAATGTTTCTTTGGAAATAGAAAAAAAAAGTTAAATTTTTGTATTTCAATCAAAGATGATAACTTTGAACAGTACTTTTGCAATATAGCTCGTATTAATAAAAACTCGGTGTATCAGTATATCATTTAAAAATAAATAGTTGATAATATCAAATGAAATAGTACAGATAAAACGAAAAACTTATCCCCATGGAACTTTTGGTACATCCTGTATTACAAAACTTTTACAATAAATTAATTAAAATTGCAAACTTAACTTCCATTCTTTCACATATGTTATATATGGATTTCTAAAATATGTCAGACCGTTCAAAATTATAACTACGTAGTTACCAAGACTTCCATGTTATTCCAAATCATACGATAACGGTCTTTCTCTATAAGGAATCTAAAAAAGTAACGATCTGTCGTGAGTATCACACCATACCATTATTTTTTGTTGTAAGTTTTCTTCTCATTTTTCCTATCAAATTGAAGGTCTCACCGTAAAACTATCAGATTCAAAATATGAACTGCTGTTGATTTACACGGACCAAAATATTCAAATGTTAAGATGTTTACAATCTATGTACGCGGTATTCACAATTCAAATTTCAGCGCAATTTTCTCTTCTTTGTTTTTCGTGATGATTGCATAAAGCTCATTGAGTTGCATTAGTGAAAATATAATTCATAGAGTTTTAGATGAATGGCCAAGTTAACATTATTTTCAAATATATAAGAAAAACAGGTCCAAAATTCTGAGTTTCGTAGGTTTTTTAAAAATCTTTTTTCTTTTTAAATATGAATTATACTTTTATTAATGCAAATCGATGAGCTGTATCCGACTACTACGAGGAGCAGACTTTGTTGAAATTTTGGATTGCTGGCATAACGTACATAGATTGCAAACACCTTAATATTTGAATATCTTGGTCCATGTAAATCAACAGCAGTTCATATTTTGAATTCTGATCGTTTTACGGTGAGACCTTCAATTTGACTCGAATATGTATAATTTTATTAATTAACAATACAAACTCTATCATCATACTAACATGAATATATAAAAATATTTTCAGTTGAATGTGAAATGGTGGTGCACTGAGTTAAGTAATGTAAATCTAAATTTTCTCCATATTCTTTATTTTTACCTATTTATTGTTATTTTTGTTTTTCGAATTTGATGTGGCTGCTAGATAGTTTTATTCTAAATGATTAAGAATATTTGATTCAATAGTTAAAAATGATTTGATTAATCTAACAGAAAAGAAAAAAAAAATATGCTTTTAATAATGAAGTAGTTTTGTATCATGTATGAATGTAATTTTTATATTAATTGATAAGTGTGTTGAATCTTGATTAGTTTAGCCAATTTAAATGAAAAGATAACTGTCAGCATCTAAAAAAAAGAACAATATCAAATCAAAATGAAAAAATATAACGAATACTTACTGTAAAAATAAACGTAAAAATGGCTATAATCAGTAGAATCACACTAAACACAATTCCAACAGCAGCATAATGTGATGTAGTTGAAAAAGCTACAATTGCAATAATTGCAAAAACAATGACAAGCACGAGACCCAGTAATTCAAGTATACCCAACCATGCAAACTAAACAAAATAACGAGATGATATATCTATACATAGCTAGTATAGAAGAAAAAAAATGAAACATACAATAAGAATTCCAATGCGCATATATTGAACTACAACAATAATGTAAATAATTAAATAAAGTATCAATACTGCACCTAAAATTAAATATAAAAAAGATATCGAAAAAAGTATTTCAATAGAAAATTTTACCAGAAATTACATTGCTAATATATGGAAAGGCTGCCTCATGATCGCGAATTTCTTTGGACGCATCATAATATTTAGCGAGGCCAACAATATGTTCAATAAAATAGAGCCAAGCCAAAACCTAGAAAAGTTATAACGGATGATTTGTATTTATAGATTGTTTTTTCTACCATGTGAACTGCCAGAAGAATAAGAAGTGTTATTCTTGTTTTTTTTACATTATTATTAGGTGCATAATCTTGTTTGCTTGTCAATTGTGATATTGGCATTGGTGCAATTGGTGCTTTTTCATTCGGTCCTTCGAATTGCATCTTTTAAAAACTATAAAATCAAATGAAAAAAATATCTTCTGCCACTTGGGACCAAAAAAAAAGCAACGAAAAATAAATAGTTAATGTATGAATGAGTAGAAAAAAAAATTATATGTGTAAAAAAAAAAAGTGTTATTAATAAGAAGTGAAAGAAAGAGAACACCGATATGCATTTTTTTTTTCTTTTCATATATATATGGAATATAATTTATGCAAGTTAATTACGATATAAGGCAAAAATGATTTGTAATATTGCATCGTGGTCGATAAAATTCATGCATTGATGTATCGGGCCGTCGCCAAAAACTATAATAGATTGTGGTACCATGCCATATATAGCTGATATTTGCCATACTAATTGAGAAAGATAATCGTTTTTTTTTAAATTTTATTGTATAGTAATTAATCCATATAAAGAAATTACACCAAAAATCAGATTCAAACCAACTAGAATTTAATTGAAAATCTAAGAAACTTATACGTTTTGAACAATCTATAATAAAAAAAGAATTAAAAAATAAAAATTCCATTGATTTTTCTGATTTAGAGCTAGATGGAGTTATTCTGTACTCTTACTCAAGTTAACATGCTTTACACACTTGTTTTCTTGCCTATTGCACTTGTTATGAAAACGTGAAATTTTTTCTTCGATATTATTTTAGCTTGAATAGAACTATGAGATAGTGCAAGATTACCTTAATGGATGCTTTCATAATTGTGCATAAGCGTGAGACTTGTAAAATAGTCTCGTCTATTTCTGATTCTAATAAATTTCAATTATAGTCGATTCAATATTGATGAAAGAAATCGATTATCATTGCTGAAAACCAAAGAAAATTTTAACGTTTATCGTCAAACAAAATCGATGAAAAGCAATGTTTATTAGCATCGGTTTTTCTATTGATTACAAGCGCAATTAATCAGACTAATCAATGGAGTTGTGATTTTTTTTTTTTTATTAAAATCGATTTCTAATTGATTATTTCTAGGTTAAAACTGTAAAGTTTCAATCGACTTTAATCTGTTTTTTCATGTTTTTCTTTACCTTAGAAATACTCAAGTATTTTTTTTTCTTATTTGTGTTGCAGATACTCTATCGATGTCTCTCTTCCAATGTACATAATAAGGACGTCAAACAGAACACAAAAAAAATATTTTATCGATGCTTCTCATATACATCGTTTGGTTTATTTTACGTTACCTTCGTTATACATGGGTAACTTGCCCGTAACATTCACACAGACAGATAAACGGTCAAAACATTGTTGTGATGCATTAAAGGTGAATATTAAGGAAAACATCGCTCTAAAATTCGTTCACTCTTACAGTTAAAAAAGTAAACGCGTTGGAAGCAATTTTTTTCATCGTTAATACATTTAATGAGTGTCACGAAAATATTAAGCCATTAAACATATTTTAACGTACACATTCAATAAATTAGGTAAATGATTGCGTTCTAACATGAATAATTGTACGTTTTATAATAAGTTAATATAAAGAAGAATAAATTTCAAAATAGTCTCTCGTTATGGCTCATTTATATAGCATGCTGTGCAAAGCAAAGTATATTTTAAGTAAAGCAAAAAATTATGAATTTATTAACACTCAGCGTTCTCATTTTGATTGTAATGCGGAAAAAAAAACATAGAGTTACGCACAGGGTAAAATTCAATATCAGTTTCAAATCGAAAAACAAGCTTTTGAATTAAAAATTTATAGTAAATAATCTCGATTGATGATCAATGTGATGTTTCATAAAGCATATTTCTATATCGGCAAACAAGATCATTTATCGAGAAAGTATTTGCTATCAGTTTTAGTATTATTGTCAGGCCAACATAATTTGATACCTACATTCAAATTTGAATGATGATAGTTATAAATTCTTTTTGTCATATACCTTATTTGAATTAACTAATTGCGTTGTTATTTGACAACGAATGCGGGATCCTCGTATAAAAAGAAAAAAGAAAAAAATCTGATTTTTATAGATTTTTTTATAGTTAAGAATCGATTAAAATGTCACTATTTCAATCAGATTTATAATCAAAATAATGATCAAAATTAATTGAACCTTTAAACAATAATTTTCACTGCAGTCACTGTAAAACGCGTTTTTCTCGAGTTTTAAGCTGAAAACGGAGTTTTTTCATCGTTTTCTCGGACTGTACGCTTCGACAAGTAGTAAGTATGATGTTAGATCAACATGTGACATATAAAACAAACTTCAAGATTTGATATCATATGGTTTTTATTTACTGACAAAAGAAAACGATAAATTCGATTAAAATCAATTTGGAAATTTTAATCGATTTCAATGGATTCAAAATCAAATAATGTGATTGATAATCTGAGAAAAAGGGAATAATCAACAATATCTGTTCTATGAATGCGCAATATGTGCTTGTGGCTGCATGAGAGTTTCCTCATACTAACTTTCGTATGAAAGATTTCCTCAATGTACATCTCAGAATGTGTGTAGCTACGTGAGCCTTAGATGCACCCATACCTCGCACGCAAAACCTTTCCGAAAAGCAATTAATGCTAATAAATCAATAGTAAAAAAAAAATAAATGTCGAAGAAATATGCAGAACTTTCTCATCAACAGTATTAAATGAAGAAAATGAAATATATTCATATTTTCTAATAAAAGTTGCTGGCAATAAGATTTAGTGCTGAAATATGTAACAAAAAATTGATAACGCAGAAACTGGAGATTTATAGGATAGATTTTTGTTGTGCCGTGTATACTGATTAAGAAAAGTTTTCTAATTCTTAGCCTATCCTGCAGATTAGGACACAGTAACTCTCAACATCTCTAGTATCAATGACATATCAAGTTTATTTATCACGTGTTGTCTTTGTAATTTAACATATGAAAACCATAATTCAAGTGGCAAAAAAGTTACAAACAAAACTAGAACCATTTATTCCTTGATTTTATAACTCAGAATACAAAACGCATGATCGATTAATGGAAGGCTCCTCTCATAAGCCTAGCTCTGACAAGGCATATGAGATGTTTATGAGAATTTGCATGCATATTCAGCTTACGGAAATATCTTAATAAAAAATACTTCACGTCTCAATACACTACCGCTCAAGAGATTTCCTGATGTCGAGCTGCAATGCTCGAGTTTGTTTTCATTTGAACCAGAACTCTTTACCACTTCAGATGATGTAAAGGGTTTTTTCTTAATTTTTACTTTGTGCCATTTTTCAGAGCATCGAAAATTCTAAAGTCTGAAAATGCTAAACATGATTTTCTCCAAAACTCAGTGTTTATTTAGCATTAATGGTCAATGAAAAAACTCATTTCTCTCATTTAAAGAACTTTGCATGTATCTATCCATCAAAAATAAAACATAACACTCTAAGTTGAATCAAACATATTGAGAAATAATTTATCCACTGTTTGATCATAACTGAACAAGTTAATTTTTAGAAAAACGTGAAAAAGGTTTTATTTTGTAGTTTTTAACTTATTAGTTAGAAAAGAGATGAATCGTAAATACATTACATATCAATTGAAGGATTTGTCTATGTACATTAGATTGTCATCGTATTTGAGACACATTATGATTAATAATGCTATCTATTATTGCTTTTCTATTTGTCACACATCAACAACGCAATAAATACACATGAATAACAAATTAAATTTTTCAAATTGATTTGTTACCTTACAGTTTTGTTTAAAAGTCATAGTGATGATTGGTATTTACTAGTAACTCTGTAGAAATATGGCATTTTATTTTATACAAAACATCTACTTTGAGGAAGAAGATGTAAGGGGCCAGAAGATCTACCACTACACCATCAATTCATTAGCAGACTTCAAAATGGGTATCTCTGATGCGTAGAATTTGATAACCTTTGGACAATGTTTTTTTTTATTGTTCATCGTGATTATACAGATTTGAATCATTACAATTTCATCGATTTTCGTCGAACACTTAATTAGAGGTTCGTCGAAGCAAAGAGTGTAAATTTAGATAAAGGCAATAGTGCTGATTGCTGTGAGGATGTTCAAGTTCATTTATATAAAACACTCAAAATAGTTTCGACTAAGGATAATGGTTTATGTGCAGCCCAGACATTGGGTTAGATTTTTGATTACATGTATTATCAATGAAATAGTTAATCGAAGAAATTTTACTTGATTATCTGATTTTAATGCTCAACTTTAAACAATATTATTAACTAAAAAAAAGTATAATGAGATAAAACAAAGGAAAATCAAGCTGAACGACTTCAATTAAATGAGTTCAATACGTCCTTTTTATTCAATGAAATAATTAAAACAATAAGTGCAGTTATTGCAAATGAACTTATATAATATAATCAAATGTTTTCTAATTAATTTTTTTTAATATGTGATTAGAGTTTTCATTTAATCAATATATATATATATACAGTTGTTCGTAAAAAAATAATTTGCATAAAAATACGAATTTCTAAGGAAATTGGCATAGAATATGTGATTGTTTTAGTTTTGCATGTATAGAAATTAAAAATATCTTAAAAACTTATATATTCATATTACTTTATTGGAACAAAATCATGAGAGCTGTTAGCCCGTGTGAAGCATGAAACAAAGACTTCCATGAGGACTCTCTATGTAAATAATATCAGCAAATTCGAATAAATGAAATTGGCTGAATATTGAAGAAGACATTATCAACAATGTACCTTCAATGTCAGAGAAAAAAAGATTATTCATCAATATATTCGTCGTAGTTAAAAGAAAGTATCGAAAGAACTAATAGATGAGAACATGTCGAAAATCAAAAGAGACATTATATAGGGTTGTGCATAACCTTTTGCTAGGGGGGTAGCGCCATTATTTCAAGTCGAATACCTAATGAATTTTGTACCAAATTAAAGAGCGTTGAAAAATGGATTTATTAGTACTAAATAGTGAGAGTTTTCAAAATATTTTAATGTGTAACTTACGAAATTTTCGGAAATTTTATGCTTTTTTTACCATAGAAAATGA